TATATAATAATAAAATATAATATATTATTATTTGATATTGACGTACGATTAACTTACATCAATTACATTTTTCGAGCATTTAACAGGGGATAAATATATAGATTGAAATCTGGAATCACTCAGCCAGTAGCAGTTTTTGAGTGACGAGAGAAATGCTGGCAGCAAAAATCCTTCTTCCTGGTCCTTCCATCTCTCAAACCCTAACATTCCCAAGCCCTAGCATCAAACCCTCAAGTTTCAAATCTTCATGTCTCAAATCATCCTCTCAATCGGTCCTGACCGAGACCCTCTCAATAACCCCTTCGAAAACCCGGGTCAAGATCCTTTCTGAAGCGCTGCCGTTCATCCAGAAGTTCCGTGGGAAGACCGTGGTGGTCAAGTATGGCGGAGCCGCAATGAAATCTGAAGCTCTTCAGTCGTCCGTTATCACCGATCTTGTTCTCCTCTCCTGCATCGGTCTACGTATCGTGTTTGTTCATGGCGGCGGTCCTGAAATCAATCAATGGCTCAATCGATTGGGGATCAAGCCCAGTTTTCTAAATGGTCTTCGTGTAACGGACGCTTCCACTATGGAGATTGTGTCCATGGTTTTGGTTGGTAAGGTTAATAAACATTTGGTTGGGTTGATCAACAAAGCTGGTGCAACGGCAGTTGGATTATGTGGAACAGATGGCCGGATTTTTACTGCTAGTCCTTCACCGAATTCGGATCAGTTAGGGTTCGTAGGCGAGATCTCCAGCGTCGATACCTCGGTCTTACGGCCGTTGATCAACGACAATCTGATTCCGGTGATTGCTTCCGTGGCTGCTGATGGCACCGGACAGTCTTATAACATAAACGCCGATACGGCTGCTGGAGAGCTGGCAGCGGCATTGGGGGCGGAGAAGTTGCTTTTGTTGACGGATGTTGCTGGGATTCTTGAGGATAAGGATGATCCTGAGAGTTTAGTGAAGGAAATTGATGTGAAAGGAGTAAAGAAGATGATGGAAGATGGGAAGATTGCAGGTGGGATGATCCCGAAGGTGAATTGTTGTGTGCGATCTCTTACTCAAGGGGTTAAAACGGCGAGCATTATTGATGGGCGATTGGAACACTCTTTGCTGCTGGAGGTTCTCACAGATGAAGGGGCTGGAACCATGATCACTGGGTAAATATTTAGTTTTTTCTGCATATTTCTTCCTGCTGTTGATGTTTACCATAGTTCTTTCTTGTTTGAAGTTAGAAAAATTTGGTAGATTTCTGTTATAAATTATGCTTAGTTTTAAGTTATTTCCAGAATCTTGTTTTTCTGAGCTCAGTAGAGAAAGAGGGATCCTGTTCAAAAGAACTAGAGAAAGAGGGTAACTAAGGGGCTGTTTGGTTGTTTTTTCATTAAACCATGTATGGATTAAGCTTGGTGTATCGATTAACTTATCTGTTTGGGTTAAGCTAAATTGTTGTTTTTTTATTGTGCTGAATAAATCTTAATGACTATTTTACTCACTTTTTGTTTTTATTCCATTAAGCTCATTTTTTCCCACTAAAGCTTAGATGATGCATTACATTTTCTAAGATAACAAAACCTCCCTTTTGAGCATGTTGACTAATTGACAAACATGATGGTGTACAATCCTATGTTTAAACTGAAGAACAAATACAGTATCATCAATTTCTCCTAACTATACTCTAAGCCTTCAACTATAAATCATTAAATCATCAAGAAACACGTGACCCTAGAAATCATCAAATCATGTACGTATTATTCCTTAATCCCATAGGTTTGATCCTTTAGAATTGGATTCATTTTGATCCCCGTCAAAGTCTGCATTGAAGTGCTTACAGACTAAGAATGTGAACAAATAGGAAACAACACGCCCTTCCACTAAAAGGGGAGGAATGCCGGGATATAATATTTGATTCGACCCCTAGATTCTCATTCCTTCGATCTCCTTTTACTCACCCATATGGCTTTCAATTTTTCATCTCGGTCAAGAGAAACCCCTGTAAAACTCAACTCCAAGCTCGAGGAATAACCGGAGGTAGCAGGAGGGGTGGCGACGGAGATTGTGATGTTTACATATTGAGGGAGGAAAGGGAGAGAGGTAAGGGTAGGGTTGAAAAAAAGGGACCTGCTGTCCTCAACGGGCTGAATGAACAAGTCACTTTCTGTATGAATCAGCTATAAACAAACTTCCCTTAATAGTAGCTTGGAGTAAAAACCGCCATTATTGTTGCTCTGAAGTCTCTTCACAGAGGCTTCGGGTAATTAATAGAGTTATGATTTCAGCTTTTATTAATTTGTTTTACAAAGCCCATTGGTTGCTTGTTTTACCTTTTGTTTGCGTCTGCAAGATTCACTCTTTACCCACAATGTGCACAATATGTATATGATAGTTTAAAATGCGGAAACCGTCAATTTAATCATAAACGATATTTACTACTTATCGATGTAGTAAATCACAATATATAGCACCCCAAAACTCTTATAACCCTTGCTCGATTTGCAGCGTAACATGTGAAATCATTCAACATAGCAGCTAGAGTGAATTAAGTGTCACCATTCTGGCTGGAAGGGTGCAATTGCTGGTAACTTTCAGCTCAATGCAGAAATTGCAGATTTCAACAATGCAATCACAAACCCAAGTAGTTGAATAGTGTCAGCTCTCTAGATCTTCACTAGTGGGCATTGGCTATTACCTTCAGTTATGATGATAAACCAAACTAAACCAAGCCAAACCAAACAGTTCCTGGTATATCCTACTCGAACATAGGGTTGGGGAGGGGTAGGATGTTCGTAGACCTTTCGTCTATCCTAAGGGGTAGAGAGGTTGTTTCGAATAGGGACTATATTTGACAACATGAAGGTTGGGAGAATTTTGAAAAGATCTGTAAGGCAAAGGAGAAAAATACTAGAAAAAAGAAAGTGTTGCAAGTTGGCTTAGGAGAGGTATACTTGCACAAACAGGTGAAAGTTCGAGTCTGGCAACTGCAATGAGAGTTTCAATTTCTTTGGGGATTGGGCTTCTTGTGAGCACAACTAGCTACCGAGCATGCGACTGTGTAGCTGATATGTATCTCACCTGATGCTCTTGGAGTAGGGTTGTGTGGGCTGTCTCGGGGGTTGCCAGTTACAGACAGTTGAGATAGTTGTTGACTTAATGACGTCAAATGTTGGATTGGTGATGATAGATGTTTAGGAAGTGGGGCGTTGGTCACCATGTGGTATCTGATTAGGTTATCAAAGATGATGCATTTAGACTTCAAATGTGGCGTGACACTGAGACCTGCTGTTCCATTGTTAACAAATGCTTGTCGTTTTCATGCTGAAATCAAAAAGCTAGATAACAACATTCTAACTAGTATTCGATGTATGCACAAAAATTGATAGTTCCTTGACTTATTGATTATCGAGATCACAACAGTTCTTGATTACCATTTACACTTTACATACCTAAAAACAAACCAAACAAGCAAGGTATGTCCTGCCTGTAGGTGGGGTTTTGGGGGTAAGAACTAAGATGTATGGAGATCCGATCTCTACCCTGCATTGTACAGCGATGTACAAATCCCGAGAGGGAAAAATAATGCATCCAAAGCTTCGTTTGGAGAAGACAACGACCTCTAGTTTAACTTCTTCCAATAACTACTTTAGTTCATTTTAGGCTTCTTCATGGACCAAGCGTCGAGTTTCTCAACCGTGATGGTCGTGGTTCCGTTATTAAACACATACAAATGTGCGTTATCATCATCCAATGCCTTAGTCGGATAAACCCTAGATGTAATGACCGTCTTCCCCCCTGCTGCAAAGCTTTCCACCACCGAATGATCAATCAAGCTTCTAAGCGAAATCTTGTTGTCGGCTAAATCTACATCCACAAACCCTCCAAACGATGGCTTGTACTCGTGCTTGTTCAATGTTGACCTTCAGGTTTTCCATTAGAAAACAAAAGAAAACAGATATCAATTGGAACTGTATTTAACATGGTTTAATTAGTGGTTGTGGATTAGTGTAGTCCACTCGGAGGTGAGGTCGGGGTAGGTGAGTCGACGCAAACCTGACCTCTACTCCGAAGAGTAGAGCGGTTGTTTTTGTGAAAATCCCCCGACTTCCAAAGAAGTGTGTACCAGCACTAGTGTTAGTGTACTGTACTGGATCTCATTAGAACTCTGTAGTTAAGCTTGCTTGGGATAGACTGTACTGTACGTGTATAAAAAAAGATAAGAGAAGAGATATTACGGCATCTCATCAGAGCACATGAGGACTTTGTGCTTGGTGTCGGGAGTGTTGAAAACCCTAAAGAATACCGGAGTGTATTCTTCAAAATGTTTTGAGGTCAACGTTAGAAGACCAAACGGTCCTAGCCCGCCCTGTTCGGTTGTACCCTTGACTTGACATATGTTTCTTGCTATACTTTCCGGTGGAAACGTTTTGTCCCAGTTAGTATCATACACTTCGGCTTTATCCAAACCCGGTAACGTAAAAACCACATCCACATCAGCCTGTATTCAGAATCATATATCATAATCGTGATTGTGATTGTGATTGTAACCATGTAACATCAGACTCGGTTATTCGAACCTGGGCAGGAGTGATTCCTTCAACTTGAACTTTATCTCCCTGCTTGAGCTCCGTATTGCTTATCTGCACATTCTTATCCCTGAGGGTTTCCAATTCTTCAACAGGCCATTGTAGCAATTGCTTTCCAGATGGGTCTAACCAAACACTTCTTGGAATACACTACATCATTGGTGAAATTTGAACACAAATCTCAGTCGAAACTATTGAAAGCCAACAAAATGTGGGACAAGCTTCTGTTCTGTCATGTTCTGTCTAACGTACCAAAGGCACCTAAAAGTTTGAGAAACAAAAGAAACTACGAACCTGGATTCCAGCCCATCCTTTCTTGACACTTTCATGCTCAGTGCTGGACTCATTAGACCAACCCCAGAGGATCCTACGTTTCTTTGCAGGGTCATAGAACGACTTAGATGCATAAAAGTTCCCCCAATCGTATCTTAAACCCGCCCAACCGTCAATCATTCCCTCATCCGGGATGTATTTGTCTTCTTTTGTGTCGTATTTTCCGATCGTATAATACTCATTTCTAGTTATATCGAGACTTACCTTAAAAACATGTTTTATATCGCCTTCTACTACCATAGTGTCCAACCCATCTTTTCCCGTAGTTGCTACAGGGTAGAAGTCGGGGCATTCCCACATCCCTGTATCCTCTTTCTGGTGCAACGGGTGATCAACTAGGGTCCACTTAATGAAATCCGGGCTTCGGTACAAATAAGACATTCCAGTCGTATCCTGCTTACTACCTACCGTTATTTCCCATTGACCGTTGAGTTTCCAAGCCGTTGTGGGGTCACGAAATGCCGACACGTTCTCTTTGGTCGGTTTTATGATCGGATTGTCGTCGGGTTTGATCCATTTCTTGAGGTAAGGATCGTTATAGTCTTTAGGTATCGCATAGTTTTGGACTTGATAACCTGGTTCTGGTTCTTTAGCGATGATTCCCGTGTACAAAATGACCGGTTTCTCGCCTGGGAGGATGGTGGCGGACCCAGACCAACACCCGAACTGATCAAACGGCTTTGATGGTTCAATTGCGGGATCCAGTGGTGTCCAGTTGATCAAGTCTTCCGATACCGAGTGGGCCCATACAATGTTACCCCATACCGAACCTTTCGGATTGTATTGATAGAACAAATGGTAGAATCCCTTGTAAAACATTGGTGCTAAATGCGACCGAAATTGAAGCAACAAAAAGAGGTTGGGATCGATCTTTTCGGTAAGTTAGTAAAAATTAAAATTGAAATGTATAAACTCACCATTGGGATCTATTAATAGTTTGATCAATTTCAGCACCAAATCATGCATAAAAAGTGTAGAATAAAATCATTAGCAGCAATTTATGTTTTTTTCTGTAATTTATCAAGAAAGATAAACGATTGGTGTACTTATGTTAGCGGGTATCAAGAAAGATACCCGGTCAAAGTTGGCTCCGCCCATGTACGTATGTATATGGATCATGATCCATATTAGTACATATATGGGTCATGATCTACAACGTTTGTAGCGAAAAAGAACGACATGCACACATGCATGCGGTCTAGCGCTGGATGACAGATATACCGTTGATCCAGTGTTTCGGAGGTTGAAAATGATACCCAGTTCGGTAATCGTCTTCGACCTTCGCAGCACTTCTATGTTGCAAATGGAGAGAAATCTTGTGAAAGGCCATGACTCCTCCATTGAAGTGATTCAACATTGGGAAGAAACATACCAACCCTACCATACCCCATACAAACACATTGAAACCCCCCATTTTTGCAATTTCTTTTTTTAGAAAAAAAATATTATTATTTTAATAAAATAAAAGATTTTTCAATAACCCTTTATTAAGTATTTAAAATTGATTAAAAAAAATTTAAAAGAGATTTAATATAATTTATAGAGTGAAGGAGGAAGGGAGTTATGAGGGGGTGGTGAAGAGTGGTTTTAGGGTTACTTATGGAATACCAAACCTTCATGAGCAGGTGGTTAAGAGGGTTTTAAGGGGTAATTACCACATTTGTATATGTAAAATTAAGTCATTTGTGTAATATAAAAAACGAGTAAATTACGAATTTCGTCTCCTTAGGGGGCCGTTTATCAAACACTTACTCGGTGTTGTCACTCATTTTTTCAATTTTGTTATGAATCGAGTCACTTGACGTAACTTTGCTACCTTCAGGTTTGTTAAGTCAAGGACAATATAGTTCTTTTACTCTTTTTCTTTAAAAAATAATATCATTTTTTCCTTGATTACCAGTGTACCCATTTTAGCTAAACCCTCCTCTTTCCATTCCTATCCTTGTGATAAATAAGCTCCTATTTTCTCCTTTTAAAATAAAACCAATCTATCGTCGTCCGGGAAGTCAAAATCCCTCTTTCTCACGTTCTCACACACGGCAACAAGCTTCATCGAAAAATGCTTTCCAATTCTCCGACGATTTCCAGGTTCTCCATTCTCTCCGACCACCACCATCGCAGCTACAACCACCACTATCTATCTCATTCATCGTTGTTGCCACCGTGTCATCTATGAAAGATCCAAATCCTTTGCCTTTGTCGTAGTTTCTAAATCTCCGCCATGGATACAGATCAACCCTTTGACTACGAATCCAAGGCCACAATGTCCTTGCACACTGCTTTCGAAAACCCTAGTTCGTCAAGGTCACAACATCCTTGCACACTCCCACACCGATTACTCCCTCGTGGCAACAAAACTTGGCATCTCTTTCTACTCTAACGCCGACGACCTTTGCAAAGAACACCATGAGGTAATCCTTCTTTGCACATAATTGTCTTCAGGAGTTAATTTGTAGTTAGGGTTTATGATTGAAAATACGGACCAAGTTTTGGAATAGGTATTAGGGATAATAATTGCTTAGTATTGATTTTTCCTTCAATGTAAAATAAAAGGGTAAAATAGTAATTTTCACCATTCATACTATTTATTCAGCATAACAACCGAACAACAACTTATCAGTTATCATACAAACAACTTTATCACTACAAATAACTTTATCCATACATGACTTAATAGAAAACAAACCGAACAGACCCTAACTCTAAAAACCACGAGATCGAACCAATAGGAACTTAATCGAAATTGACCCAATAAACTCAAAAGTGTTTGTATTGCAAAAACTCAAAAGGTCATCATAATCTTAAAAGCCAATGAAGTTGTAGGTCCAGGTCGAGGTTGAAGGTTACAAAAATCAGGTTTTATCACTTTTTGTGCAACAAAGTGGCCACTTTGGTCGTTACAGTGGCAATGTCGAGTTGAATCGGTTTAGATAACTCTTTGACATTTATGGAGATGTGATGTTTGAAGACAAGAAAATAGAATACTGACATTTTCACATAAATAATGGAGGATAAAGACAAATGTGAAAATTAAGATAAACTTCAACACTCCATAAAAAAAGAAGCTTCTTAATGTATTGTCAACATCACACATTTAATGGAGTTACAGAAAGGATCCGTTTTTAAAACAAAATACAAACCATAGTGACTATTCCTGTATTTAATGAAGTTCATAGACGTGCTCGTTATTGGGTGTAAAATAAAATTTCATCTATACTTATAATAAATAAGTAACTTGGGTGACACATGTCATCTTCTGGTGAGTCGCTTTTCTTGTTATATAATAAAATAAAAATATATAAATATCAACCTAAAGTAGTATTACCAAATGTAGTATAAATAAATAGTTAACATTATGCTATTTGTTACATTATTCTAATATTATGAACAGTTTAGATTTTTTAAATTAATTTAGTATATTAATTAAGTAATATGTAAAGTTAATTATTTTAAAAATACAATATTCTAATAAAAAATATCATGTCAGCAATATATTACACATGGATAATGGCATGAACTGTAAATCTGATAACATGTGTGAGTCATGTCCATCTTAATTCAAATCAAAATATTATCGTTGTTATAATGGGTAAAAATTTCAAAATACAATATCTTGAAATATGATTGAAAGTGTACTGAATGTACAATATTATAATAAAGAAATTTGTAAAAGTGTGTTACTATTTAGTGCATTTAGCACTTATTATTTTATATCAATCTTTAATTGTTAATTGTTTTATTATTTTTTAAAAAATGGAATCCTTTTTGCACATAAAAACACCAAATCTCGAACGACTAGTGGTGGTTAGGGTATTTACGATTCGAGTTTGTAACGAGTTACTCGAGCTTAGTAATTTTTGAGTTCATAAGACCAATGTTCGACTCATCTCGTTCGAAAGGCATATTAGATTTTCCAGCCCAACCGAGTCAGTTGGAGTGTACACTTTTTCGATCAAAACATATATATATATATATATATATATATATATATATATTCATAAATCAAACAATCAAACTATAAAGTTATCGAGCTCAAGCCAATAAAAGAGTTAATCGATATCAAGTTCAAACTTACAAACGAGCTGATAAAACTTGAATTTTAGATACAATGCGCTACTCAAATTTGTTAAAATGAGCATTGAGTTTAAACATTGAAATTCCCATAAACTATTTTCATTTTTCAAATTTATGAAATTACTAACACGTCAACCTGTTAGGTTATATTTTTAAATGAGTTGGGTTGAATTGAGTTGATTTTTTTTTTGAATTAACTCGGATATCCAACCCGCTATGCGAGCCGACTAATCCCAGAGCGACCACCTACTTTGCAGATAGCTCGGAGTCACCGCATTTAAACCTCCGTGGCCACAAAGGGATTTTTATTTCTCCTTAGATTTGAACCTGTGACCGTCATAATTGTATTGGGTTGTATAAATGTCGTAAACCGTCCAACTCAACTCGTAACACTCATATTTGTAAGTGTAAATGACCAAAAACGAAAACAAAATAAAAACCAAGCCAGTTGTAAATATAATAGAATATAACAGGGGCTTGGCTGTAAATAAACCAAAGTTAAAAGTCAAAGATTAAAATATAAGAGTCAGAAAATTAAATTTTCCACAGGGTGCGTGTTATGATTTAAACTCAAGAGTAGAGGCAGTCGCATCTATGTTCGAAAGCGATGGTTCACAGCTTCAATTCAAACGGATAAAAATAATGGCTTCATTATTAAATGTTTATTTGAGTAAGTATTTATCCAAGTCATGTTATCTTATTGAACGAATATAAAAGAACAAAAAATCTTATCTGGTAAGAACCAAGAGTTTTATTCGGTAAATGAGGGTGACGACTCTTATTACAGTTAGTACTTATCGGGTAAATTGTTACATATGATTATGTCTTGGTGGATTAAAATCTTACCAGGTAAGTAAGTGATAGTTTTGAATTTTGCTAGTAACAAGTATACTATATTTTTTTTTCAAATTTCGAAATTTTCCATTCTCTCCATTTTTTATCCTATTATGGAGGAGAGTTTAATATAACTGTTGAAAAAACTTTTCTCAAATCACAATTTTTTAAAAATAGATAATTGGATATCTATACTATATTATAAATCATTTGACAAAAAACTCTTAAAAAACATTTTTTATGCGTAAATTACTGTTTATTAATGCATATTACTTAAAACTCAAGATTACAAGTAGATTGTGCATAAGTACAACTTATTAAAGCTCCATATCTGAATTCATGTAACTAAATGCAGATAAACATAATCAAATACATGATAAACATCTAACTTTAAATATAAAAAATCTAAAATATAATTAAGATAATCATTGAATTCTAACAGAATACTTAATTATTATATTTATAAAATGTTATATTATTAAAACAAAAATAAATTATTTCATTATTAAACTTAAATTAAATTATAATAAAAAGATAAATTAAAGAAATTACATAAAAATGAGAACTTTTAAATATTGATTTGATATTAACATTGATATATTTTTTTTCAAATTTTTATGATATCTTCAAATTTATATTTTATTCAAAAATAAAATCATTAATGCTTTCTTAAAAACACATAAATCGTATTATAACATCGACAGAGACAAATAATAAAATTGAACATTAAAATCGATATGTATCTCGTTGCATTGCACGAGTACTCTTCTAATAATAAAGAATTGAAKTAAATAAGTTACACCAAAAAACGATAACTATTAAATCGTTAATTTGATACTAATATCAATTTTATTATTTTCAAAATTTTATGTTATCTTCAAATTTATATTTCATTCAAATAATAAAAACATTATCGTTTTCTCGAAACCATATAAAATTGTATCATATCGATAGAGACAAAATAAAAGGTAGACTTTAGAATGAAGATTTATCTCGCTGCATTGCGCGAGTACCCTTCTAGTTTCTAAATATACAAATTTAGAAAAATCTCTATAAATTGATATTTAATAAGAGATGAAAAAAATATATAAAATTTTCCCACCAATAAAAAAGAATGAAATTAAATGTTTAAAAGAGAGAAATAATAATTAAAAAAAATATTAAATATTTTAATGATATAAACAATATTTTATAAAAGTAGAATGTTATAATACAATGTCATGTCATATGTTATACGTGGTCATACTACGTGAACAATGACATGACATAAAAACATGATAACATGGGTTATGTCATGTTAATCTAAATCAAAAGATTCATTGTTATACTGATGAGATTTTTTAAAATAGAATGTCTTGATAAAAAATAATTTGAAAGTATATTGTTTTAAGAAGAAAAAAAAATGAAAGTATAATGCTATAATAAGAATATTTGTGAAATTTGGTTGTTATTTTATGCATTTAATCCTGTTTTAGTATGACAATATTTAAAAAGAAATATTGTATA